CACTGGAGGCACTCACTTGGTTATGCCAAGAGATTTGGAAGACCTGGCCAACTGACTAGAAGACATCCATATTTGTACACATTCCAAAGAAAGGTGATCCCACAGAATGTGGAAATTATTGAACAATATCATTGATATCATACACAATTAAAATCTTAACTGAAGATAATTCAGAAATGGTTGCAGCAATATATTGACAGAGAACTTTCAGAAATGCAAGCTGGATTCAGAAGGGAATGTAAAGTGAGGGATATCATAGTTGGCTCAAAGCAAAGAATACCTGAAAGATGTTTACTTATGTTTTATTGACTATGAAAAGGCATTCGATTGTGTGGATCATAACAAATTGTGGATAACATTGAGAAGAATGGGAATTCCAGAACATTTAATTGTACACATGAGGAACCTATACATAGACCAGGAGGCTGTTGTTCAAACAGAACAAGAGGATACTGCATGGTTTAAAATCTGGAAGGGAGTGTGTCAGGGTTGTATCCTTTCACCATACTTATTCAATCTGTATGCTAAGCAAATAATCCAAGAAGCTGGAATATGGAGAACACTCATTAACAACCTGTGATATGCAGACAACACAGCTTTGCTTGTTGAAAGTGAGGATGACTTGGAGCAGTTACTGATGAAGATTAAAGACTACAGTCTTCAGTATGGATTACACCTCAATATAAAGAAAACAAAAATGCTCGCAACTGGACCAATAAGAAGCATCATGATAGAGAAAAGATTGAAGTTGTCAAAGACTTCTTATTACTTGGGTCTATAATCAACGCCAATGGAAACAGCAGTCAAGACATCAAAAGACATATTGCATTGGGCAAATATGTTGCAACAGACCTCTTTCAGGTGTTGAAGAGCAAAGATATCTCCTTGAAGACTAAGAAGTGCCTAACCCAAGCCATGGTATTTTCAATCGCCTCATATGCATGTAAGAGCTGCACAATGAATAAGGAAGACCAAAGAGTTGATGCTTTTGAGTTGTGGTGTTGGTGAAGAATGCTGAAAGTACTGTGGATTGTTAAAAGAACTAACAAATCTGTCCTGGAAGGAGTGCAGTTGGAAAGCTCTTTGGAAGCAAGAATGGCCAGACTTCATCTGACCTACTTTGGTCATGTTGTCAGAAGGGACTATTCTCTGGAGAAGGATGTCATGCTTGGTAAAGTGGAGGGTCAATGAAAGAGGGGAAGGCCCTCAACAAGATGGATTGACATGGTGGCTGTAGTGATGGGCTCAGGTATAGTAGGGATTGTGAGGCTGGCACAGGACAGGGTGGTGTTTTCATTCTGTTGAACATAAGGTCACTATCAGTTGAAGATGACTCCATGGCATGTAACAACAACAAGAATAACATGGGCAAAATATTAAATGATGCAGGAAACATCGAAAGAAGATGGAAGGAATACATAGAGTCACTGTACCAAAAAGAATTGGTTAACATTAATCTATTTCAGGAGGTGGCATATGATCAAGAACCAGTGGTATTGAAGGAAGGAGTCTAAGCTTCACTGAAGTAATTGGTGAAAGACAAGGCTCCAGGAATTGACAGAAATCCCATTGAGATGTTTCAACACATGTATGCCACACTGGAGGCACTCACTCGGCTATGCCAAGAGATTTGGAAGACAGCTACCTGGCCAAAAAACTGGAAGACATCCATATTTGTACCCATTCCAAAGAAAGGTGATCCCACAAAATGTGGAAATTATCAAACAGTATCATTAATATCACAAGCAAGTAAAGGCTTGCTGAAGATGATTCAAAAACAGTTGCAGCAGTGTCTTGACAGAGAACTTCCAGAAATGCAAGCTGGATTCAGAAGAGGGTATAGAATGAGGGTTATCATAGCTGATGTCTGCTGGATCTTGCCTGAAAGCAAAGAATATCAGAAAGATGTTTACTTGTGTTTTATTGATTATGCAAAAGCATTCAATTGTGTGGATCATAACAAATTATGGATAACATTGAGAAGAATGGGAATTTCAGAACACTTAATTGTACTCATAAGGAACCTGTACATAGAGTTATACATAGGAGGCTGTTGTTTGAACAGAACAAGGGGACACTGCATGGTTTAAAATCTGGAAGGGTGTGCATCAGGGTTGTATCTTTTCACCATACTTATTCAATCTGTATGCTGAGCAAATAATCCAAGAAGCTGGAATATGAAGAAGAATGCAGCATCAGGATCAGAAGAACACTCATTAACAACCTGCAATATGCAAACAACACAACTTTGCTTGTTGAAAGTGAGGATGACTGGGAGAAGTTACTGATGAAGATTAAAGACTACAGTTTGCCACATGGATTATGCCTCAATATAAAGAAAATGAAAATCCTCACAACTGGACCAATAAGCAGCATCATGATAAATGGAGAAAAGATTGAAGTTGTGAAAGATTTCATATGACTTGGTTCTACAATCAGTACCGATGGAAGCAGCAGCCAAGAAATCAGATGACGTCTTGCACTGGGCAGATCTGCAGAAGACCTCTTTAAAGTGAAGAGCAAAGATGTCTCTTTGAAGACTGACGTGCACCTAACTCAAGCCATGGTATTTTCAGTGTCCTCATATGCATGTGAAAGCTGGACAGTGAATAAGGAAGACTGTAAAAGAGTTGATGTTTTTGAATTGTGGTACTGGTAAAGAATACTGAAAGTACCATGGGCTGCCAGAAGAACTAACACATCTGTCCTGGAAAAAGTGTAGCCAGAATGCTCCTTAGAAGTGAGAATGGCCAGACTTCATCTCACTTACTTTGGTCATGTTGTGAGAAGGGACCATTCCCTGGAGAAGGATATGCTTGGTAAAGTGGAGGGTCAGCAAAAAAGAAGACGGCCCTCAATGAGGTGGATTGACACAGTGGCTGCAACAGTGGGCTCAGGTATACCAAGGATTGGGAGGCTGACGTAGGACTGGGCACTGTTTCATTCTGCTGTACATAGGGTCACTATGAGTTGGAGCTGACTCAATGGCACCTAACAACATATGCATGTGAAACCTGGATGAAGAAAAGTTAATGCCTTTGAATTGTGTTGGCAAAGAATACTGAAAACAACATGGACTGCCAGAAAAATGAACAAATCTGTCCTGAAGGAAGTGTAGTTGGAAGCCACCTTGGAAGTGAGAATGGCCAGACTTTGTCTCACCTGCTTTGGTCATGTTGTCAGAAGGGACCAGTCCCTGGAGAAGGATGCCATGCTTGGTAAAGTAGAGGGTCAGTGAAAAAGGAGAAGATCCTCAATGAGATGGATTGACACAGTGGCTGAAGTGATGTCATAGGATCAGACATTGTTTTTTGTTCTGTTATACACAGGGTAACTGTGAGTCAGAGCCCACCTTATGGCACCTAACAACAACAATGGTTATGTAAGATGTTAAAAATAGGGGAAGTTTGGTGCAGTGTACATGAGAATTCTCTGCACTAGTTTTGAAACTTTTCTGTAAGTCTAAAATTAGTTCAAAATAAAAAAAAATAAGTTAAAAAAAGTTTTAAATTATTCCTTCCTGCCAGAGTGAACCATTCTCACTCGCCACTAACTCCCTTGATACTCTTCTGTCTGTAGCCCTACTCAGAACTTTGTATTTTATTCTAAGTGTGGTGTGAATCCTTTGGAGATTTAAGAGAAGTGATGTGGTTGGTTTATATTAACTAAATAAATAAGTTTATATTAACTATAGGAGCTCTGGTAGCATAGTGCCTAAGGTACTTGACTGCTAACCAGAAGGCTGCAGTTCAAACCCACCAGCCACTCCTTGGAAGGAAGGTTGGGCAATCTACTTCCATAGTGATACTGCCTTGGAAACTCAAGGAGGGACTCAAGGAGGGGTCGCTATGACTCAGGTCCAACTCAATGGCACATAACAACAACAACAACATATTAAATATATAATATAAATAGTGGATATTTGTTTAATTTTTTTAATGTATTTTAAGGGCATCCAGTGAAAAATGTTTGGAGACTATTAGATTAGGGAATGGTATGAGGAAATTGTTTTACTAAGACAAAACCTAATGTCTTCAATGTATGAAAAGTTATTACATGAATAGTTCCATGGTCTGAAGAAGATATATGCCAAAGTTGCAGTGTAAGAGCATTTTAGTCAGGAATAAGCATGTCTGTATTAAGGCTTGCTCATTCTGGAATTGATTTCTAAAATGTGTGGTGTGATCCCTCTCAGGGATTTAATTTTGTAAAAATCTTGTCTAAAAGATAGTTTGTCAGAATCACTTTCAACCCCAGGATATAAAATCTTATTCTTACCCCACCCTTTTCAAGTTTTCTTTTTAAAGTTTTGTATGTATATGGATTTGCTTAAAGAACTAAACGTTGCAGAATCATCTTAATGTATACCAAGTTGAACATAATGTCAGCCAAGAGATCTCAAACTGGCAGCTTGTGGGCAGAATGTAGCCCACGTGTGTTTTCCTTGGCCTGCATGAGGCTTCAGAAAAGTTTGAGCCAACATTTTAAAATCAGAGCTTTTACATAGTAATCCAGATTTCCATCTTCTCTTGAAAAGCTGGAATATCTAGCAACATTGGTCTATATTCCCACAAGGCAACAATCAACTGGAGCTGAGTTGAGACTCCCCTTTAGATGAGGTATGTCCTTTCCAGGCTACTAGAATCCCTGCCTTTCCCCGCCCCATACCTACTGAACCCCAAATTGAAACTGCTTCATTTGTATTATATACCTGGCCCCTGCAGGCATTTGAGTTTGGGACATCAGGGTAGATTATGAACCTTCATATTCCAAATATCCTCTTTTCTTTACTTTTCTAGGAATCCCCCATCCCAGAAGACAAAAATCGCCGATTCATCTTCTCTTACTTTCTAGCCACTGATATGATCAGTATCTTTGAGCCTCCCGTACGAAATTCTGGAATCATTGGGGGCAAATACCTTGGCAGGACTAGAGTTGTTAAACCAAACTCCTCAGTGGACCACCCTGACTACTATGGTCCTGGTGACTTCTTCATTGGTGCTGTGATTGACGGTAGGTCTAAAGACAGTTCAGGCTTTCCTACTAGGTGAGTGAATGGATTCTTCTTAAACCAAACACACTGCTGTCAAGTCAGATCTGACTCCTAGTGACCCCTCCTTGGGTTTCCGAGGCAGTATCACTATGGAAATAGATTGCCCAACCTTCCTTCTGAGGAGTGGCTGGTGGGTTTGAACTGCCACCCTTCTGGTTAGAAGTCAAATGCCTTAGGCACTACACTAGATACTTCTTAGTTGGAATTTAATTCACTTAACCCTTGTAAGAGTCTATTAGGCTGTATTCCAACTCAGACAAAGCTAATATACTTGTGTATGTGGTACATTGTCTTAGTCTGCTTCCTTAACCAATTAAACTCTGAATTGGTTGCATTTGTTGTCATGGATTCATGCACACTCTATGTAGACAACTGAGCTTCCTAAATACTGTGTGACCTATTAACTGTCTACTGGTAATAGAGCTATTAGTTTATAGAGCTACTGGAAATTCATTAGTTGTGGTCCATAAATGTGCCATTGGAGGGTCAATATTGTTTTATTCCTGATTGCATGATAGAAAGATAACCAAGCTAAGTGTATTGCTACCTTTTCCCCAGTGTTTGGCCACCGATTCGTCATCCTTGATGTGGACGAGTATGTTTTGAAATACATGGAGAGCAATGCTGCCCTGTATTCACCGGAAGCACTCTCATCCATTCAGAACCATGTTCAAAAGAAAGAGCCTCCTGGACCAGAATTGGAAAAGTATGTTTGACCACAAAGGTCCATTTTGGATTTGGCACATACTAGCTTTTCAGGAAATAGTTCTTGACAGAATAAATGGGTTTCCTTCATCAGGCAGGAGTTATTAGACACATACATATGGTTTCCTGGGCTCAATGTAGTAGCTAGTAACTTAGAACTTTGTCAACTTTATTAATTTAGCAAATGATTACTGAGTGCTTACTCTGTGTCACATATTATCACTAGGCCCTTGGGCTTTGATCAGTAAATAAAATAGATAAGAAGTTACTGCCTTCATGAGTTGACCTTCTAAACAATAGGTTATAGACAATAAATAAGAAAAGTAAATTAGTTTTCTGGGGCAGCTGTAACAAATTACCACAACTTGGTGCCTTAAAACATTAGAAATTAGTTCATTAACCCTTCCGGAGGCCAGAAATCCTAAGTCAAGAAGTTGGCAAGAGTTGTTTCTTCTGGAGGCTGTAAGGGAGAATCTGTTTGTTCCGTGCCACTCTCCTAGCTTCTAGTGGCTGCTGGCAGGCCTTGGCAAATCTTGGGCATGTAAACACATATAACATTATTTTCCTAAACAAAAACATTTGATGAGAATAGTGGCATTATTTTACATTTTTATCAATTATCTTTAATGCCTGACTTAATAAAAGATGGTTGGATGTTTTTATTCAGCCTGTTGTGTTACTTGTCATGTAACCTTTGGAACACTTCACTGTGTACTTGTAAGAAAACAAGAGTGAAAAGGCAAATAATGACTTGGTATTGTTATGAGAATAGTTTTTACCTCTATGCCCCCCAAAACATCTTTGGAATCTCCAGCAACCTTGGGATTGATTACTCTTTGAGAACCTTGATACATGGTAATAAGCAGGAAAGCAGAGTATATGGGTACAGATGGTGGTAGGTGACTAGATATGGTTGTTTGTGGGGATCTCTTTTGATTGATTCATTATTTTTGTGTAGTAGAACAGTAGGAAGAATGAGGATGGGGAGAAGATGTCAGAGGTTTAAGGAGAGGAGAAAATTTGAGATACTCTTATTGAATATATGAATAAAATTGATATAAAATAAAGACAGCATTATCTACTACTAAGAAAAAAAATTGCCAATTATAATTGATACTTACCATTGATTAAGAGATACATCCTAATTCCAGAGATGATTGAAATGTGAAGAAAAAAAAATCTGTCTGAGGACCAATGAAATATAGCAGCTGTCTAGGAAAGTAGGAAAGTGAACAGACTTGAGAAGCATACACCATGATGGCCAGGCAGCAGTAAAGGCCCACATGAGATTCATAACCATACATTTAAGCCAAGTAATTCTCAAACATCTTTTTCTGTAATTTTCCCATATGTGTGCAAATGTTGTGATCCAGCAGACACTGGAATGCTTCTTGCTTTGGCACACTACCAGGAAAATCCTCTTTCTTTCTTTTTCTTTTTTTTTGATTTAGGAATGAAAGATACCATTTAGGTCCTTACTAAAAGCAAATATAAATTCAAGTTCTGAGTTAAGAGATAATTTTATTGTGGTTTGGGTGAAAGTTTACTGAGAAAATTAGTTTCCTTTCAACAGTATTATACACATTTTGTTTTGTGACATTACATGCAATCCCCTCAATGGAACAGCACACTTCCAACTTCTTCCCTGGGTTACCTGTATCTGTTTGCCCATCTTTCCTGCCCCTTCCTGACTTCTGAACTTCATTTTTGGGCAAATACTGCCCTTTTGGTCTTGTATGACTGATTGTTCTAAGAAGCACATTCCTCATGGGTGTTATTTTTCATTTCAAAGGGCCATCTGTTATTTGGCTAAAGGTGATCTCTAGGAGTAGGTTCCATTCCAGGTTTGAAGGGTATCTAAGGGCCATAGTCTTGGAGTTCCACCAGTCTCTATCAAACAGTATGTCTGGACTTTTTTATAATTTTGATTTTTTCTCTCACACTGTCTAGGATCTTCTATTGTGATCCTAATCAGAGTGGTCATTAGTGGTAGCTGGGTGCTATCTAGTTCTTCTGGTCTCAGGCTAATGGAGGCTGTGCTTTTTGTGGCCCACTAGTCCTTGGACAAATTGTTTCCTTGAGTCCTTAATTTTCTGCACTCTTCTTGCTTCGGACAGGAAGAGACCAATAGTTGTCTCTTAGATAGCCACTCACAAGCTTTTAAGACCCCAGATGCTACTCACCAAAGGAGGATTAGAACACTGTCTTTACATACTGTGTTATGCCAATTCACCCAGATGTCTCCCGAGACTATATGGTCCTAAACCCTCAAGCCTAGTGACTCAGTCCCTCAAGATGTTTGGTTGTGGCTAATAAGTTTGCATGACTTTGTCCCTTATTTATGCTCTACCATATACTTGGATTTATTTGCAGCTCATACATTATTTGTAGCTATTTCATGTAGAAATATCCTCTGCCAAACCTATATATGTCTGTGGGTATACTCCCATATACCATTCCACACCTGTTCAGCTTACATGTCTTCCTATGCATTCACTCATAAATTATTGTCATTATTGTTATTGCAGGATTGCGTATGTGCTAGTATTTACCGTTGTTATCTTATACTCTTGCATATTTCCCAGCGTCTTCTTTTGCCTTGGTCATATTGTGCTCACCTCTCTCTTATTGTGTATTGCTTTTCTGTTTATCCAAGTTAATACATATCTACTATCTAGTTAATTGATTTTCCCTTCCTCCTTCATCCATCCTTTGTAGTCATCAAAGAATTTTCCTTTCTGTACATAAACCTTTTCTTGACTTTTAATAGTAGTGGTCTCATATAATATTTGACCTTTTGTGATTGACTTAGTTTACTCAGCATAATGTCTTCTAGGTTCATCTTTGTTATGAGGTGTTAAGCAGATTCATTGTTATTCTTTAACGTTGTGTATATTCCATTATGTGTATATACATACCATAGTTTATTTATCCATTCATCCACTGATAGGTACTTAGATTGTTTCCATCTTTATGCTTTTGTGAATTATGCTACAGTGAGCATGGATGTGCATATATCTATTTATGTCATGGCTCTTATTTCTCTATGACATACCTACTAGTAAGATTGCTAGATCATATGGTATCTCTATTTCTAACTTTTTAAGGAAGCACCATACCATTTTCCAACCAGCAATGTATTAGAGTTCCAGTCTCATAACATCTCACCAACATTTGTTGTTTTCTCTCTTTTATTTATTTTTGACCTATAGGTGGCTCTTATTGCTGGGGTAAGATGATATGTCATTGTTGTTTTCATTTGCATCTCTCTAATTGCTAATGATCATGAGCATTTCTTCATGTATTTGTTAGCCGTTGGAATGCCTTTTTTTGTGAAGTGTCTGTTCATGTCCTTTGCTCATTATTTATTGGATTTTTGTCTTTTTGTTGCTGAGGTATTGATGTTTTCTATAAATTTTAGAGATTAATCCCTTGTGAAGGAGCTCTGGTAGCGTAATGCCTAAGGCATTTGACTGCTAACCAGAAGGCTGGTGGTTCAAACCCACCAGCCACTCCTTGGAAGGAAGGTTGGGCAATCTACTTCCGTAGTGATACTGCCTCAGAAAACCAAGGAGGGGTTGCTATGAGTTGGGGCCGACTCGACAGCATACAACACCAACAACAACAATCCCTTGTGAGATAAGTCTTTACCAAAATTTTTTCCCCAAGTTGGTAGGTTTTTCTTTTACTCTTTTGGAGAAGTCTTTTCATGCACAGAAGTGTGTATTTTGTGCCTTTTAGTTGTGTTTGAGGAGCTCCGGTAGCATAATGCCTAAGGCATTTGACTGCTAACCAGAAGGCTGGTGGTTCAAACCCACCAGCCACTCCTTGGAAGGAAGGTTGGGCAATCTACTTCCGTAGTGATACTGCCTCAGAAAACCAAGGAGGGGTTGCTATGAGTTGGGGCCGACTCGACAGCATACAACAACAGTTGTGTTTGATATACTATTTATTTTATAATTTAGGGCTCTAAGTTTACCTCTGTTTTTTTCTTCCATGATCTTTATAGTTTTACATTTTACATTTAGGTCTTTGATGCATCTTGTTTTGTATATGGTGTGAGGTAGGGGTCCTGTTTCACTTTTTGGCAAATGGATATACAGTTTTAACAGCACCATTTGTTAAAGAGACTATTTTCTCCATTTAGTGAATTTGAGCCCCTTGTTGAAGATCAGCTGTCCATAAGTGGGTGAATTTACTTCTCAATTCTGTTCCTTTGGTCTATGTATCTGTCTTTGTACCAGTACCAGGCTGTTTTGACTACTGTGGCTGTAGAGTAGGTTTTGAAGTTGGGAAATATGAGATCACCTGTTTTATTGTTCTTTGGTAATGCTTTGCTTATCTGGGGTCTCTTTTCTTTCCATATAAAGTTGATGACTAGTTTTTCCATCACTTTAAAGAGTGTTAATGAAATCTGGATTGGGATTGCATTGTATCTATAGATCACTTTGGGTAGTATTGACATTTCACAATGTTCAGTCTTCCTATCCATGAGCATGGTTTGTTCTTCCATTTATGTAGGTCTCTTGGTTTCTTGCAGTAGTATTTTGTAGTTTTCTTTGTATAAGTCTTCTATATCTTTTACATTTTACAATAAATGGGTTAGTTTTTAAGTATTTCTTCTTATAGTGGCTACTGTAAATGGTATTGCTTTCTATTGCTTTCCTGATTTCCTTTTCAGAGCTCTTTGTTAGTGTTGAGGAATCCAACTGTAGATCTTCTACCCTGCTGAATCCTTCTATTCTGCTTTCCTGAATCCTTCTATTAGTTTCAGTAGCTTTCTTATAGAATCTCTGGGATTTTTTATGTATGGAAAATGGACAAGATCATATCATCTGCAAATAGGAATAGTTTTAATTCTTCCTTACCAATTTGGATGCTTTCCCCCACCCCTTTCTTGCCTAATTGCTTTATAAGGACTTCTAGTACAATATCGAATAAGAATGGTGATAAAGGGCATCCTTGTCTGGTTCCCAATCACTATGGGAATGCTTTCAGTCT